TGCTCCGGCCTCCTCCCACAGTCCAAAGACATGCAACTTAGGTAAATTGAACCTTAGAGTGAGTGTGGATGAACACATATAATTATAACAACCCCATTTAATAAACATGCATTTTAATACACTAACAAAAAAGCCTTCTACATGACTCGTAACAGTACTTATTGCACAATGTCAATCAATCAAGCATAAACTGTATTGTCAAATAGGTTAAAATACAAGATTGACTCAAACTAAATGGTCTCTGACGTGCACTAAATAAAACAGAAAAAAGTAAATAAAAAAACAAACAAACAAGAAAACCATCTATTTCTAAATATGTCAAAGTTAAAAATTTGCTATTTTATGTACAATGGTTACATCTTTAAGTTATTGCACTGTGTTGTTTGCTGTATGTAGCCTCCACCTAAATCCTGGTTGGATAGATACAGTTAGAGATTCGAAGGAATGTCAAATTTGGACCAGAACCAGAAGAGACCGGATTTCTCAAGGAGCCAGGGAGGAATGTCAATAAAGAGCGACACAATAGTTAGATTTATAAAACTTGAAATGTATTAACACAATTTTACCAAATGCACAATAATACAACACTTAGAAACAAATGAGGTAAAGTGTTATTGCACAATGTCAATCAATCAAGCAAGTATTGTCAAATAGGTTAAAATACAAGATTGACTCAAACTAAATGGTCTCTGACGTGCACTAAATAAAACTGAAAAAAGTAAATAAAATAAAAAAACAAGAAAACCATCTATAATATAACACAAACTGCAAAGAACTGAAACAGGACAGGACAAAACTGGAGGGGTAATGCAGTGTAATATTTGTGATTGCTCGTCCTTTTCCTTGAGACATTGTTTTCTCAACCACCTGTATCTTTTGAGTATCTTCCAGTCCTCCCCACTTGCCAGTGAGCCAGCGTCCAGTGTCCCATTGGTCTGGTCTGTCTGCTGCCATGGTGCCACAGGAGGCCGTATTATGGGCCGCTGTGGGTGTCACTCAAACCACTCAGAGAAGAAAAGGGAGGGAGTTGATGTAGCATTAGGTCATCCCCCCCTCCCTCCCTCTCTCTGTGGCACTCTGACACATCTCATCATACAGGGGACCTGCCGGGCAGATTGACAACTCAATGAGACAACCAGCGCCAGGCTTTTACAAGCACCATTTCCCGGCTTCGGTCTTTGTATGACAGTCCCCCCTACCCCTCCCAGTATCCCCTCCACACCCCCAAACACTGTGTTTTCTCTCCCCTTCCCTCCCTGTCCAGCCACTGTCCTGTCTCTGCTGTGCTGGTGTGACATGGAACGTAGCTGCTCCAGTTATAAGTCAAACAGCCGCCAACAGGCACAAAGATCTATTCAAAACATCACTGTATAAAAACATTAACCATTTTTATATAAAAAAATAAAATAAAATATCCAAAGGTAAACAAAACTGTTAATAGCTTCACCAATGAACTGTTTACTTTTTTACATAATTATCCAGATAAATATAAAATAGCATAATATATGCTGACAGGGCCCATTCTTTTGAGTACTTTTTTTTTCATATTTTATTTAACCTACAAACCTACTTACTGTAAGTATGATTTGCATAACTTTTACTTATAACAAAGTGTTTAATGCTGAAGCACAGCCACTTTTACTTAAATAAGACATCTGTATACAACTCATCCAGTGCTGATCATGTGTAGAATTACAGTGCAGGTTGCAGAACAAACACTGGTCTATAGGTAAAACAAAGGGCAAGTCCACTTTATTTAGCTTCTGTCGCACCCTGAGTATATGCCACACCATCATCAGACATGTTATTTGGAGATTCTGTAAAATCCCAGATACTGATCAACAGGTTTCTAAAAAAATTGTGGCATACAACATTAACCTGTGTGAAGTGATGAGGCGACGGTAATGAATGAAGGTGATACAGCAGTGATTTCCACGCCTTTACTCTCAGGTGCAGGATCACCTGTTGTTAATATAGTTCTTAGAGCTACCGGGCTGACAAGGAAAGATAGGCAGAAGGATGGAAGGCAACATGCAAGGTGGAGAAGGAAGGAAGGAAGAACGGAAGAAGAGCAAAAATGAGGAAAGGAGGGAAAGTGGGAGGCAAGAAGGGGAGGGGATTTTTTCACGCTTTGGTGCCTCTCAATTGAAGCCTGAACACAGGCCACAAAACCCGGCTCGCTCCATATACCTCATCTTTGCATGTGAAAGAACAGCTCAATTGTCCAGGCTTAACTGCACATTTAACCTGTGTGGACTGAAAGAAAAGGGACATTTCTCTTCCTGTCTCTCTTCTCACACCCTCTCTCGTCTTAACAAACCAATTAGCTGGACATTTCTCCTGCAAAGACAACTTCTTTACACTTGTGCTAAATAGTGAACAAGCAGCACTCGGACGCTAAATCTTTAGCCAGAGGCAGAGAGCAGTCCCTCAGCTCTTTTTCTCATTTGTTCTGGTAATCCAAAATTTGTTTTTCTTGTGAGTCAACTACACCTAGCAAATTCTAAAGTAAAAATAGCACCAATTTTGTAAACAATTTGGCTACACCAAGGCACACTTTAATCCAGCACCGGATTTAAGATTGTTCTACATTGTATTGTGTATGTTTGTGGGCTCTTTGCACATTTTAGAACAGGTTATGTAATGAGGTATGCATGCTTGAAACAGAATTTGACTTAAATGCAGACTGTCTTTCAACATGAAAAAACAAAAACAAAATATTCCACAACATGAGACAGACAAAGTGAGGTCCATTTATACAATTTATTGATAACAAAAGATCAATATCACTCCTGCATCTTCTCAATGGTCTCCTCCTTGTATTTGCCCTTCTCCTTTCCATCAGCACGAGATTTGGCTTTGCGTTCCAGGATCTTCTTGCGATCCTTGTCCAGCTTTAGCCTGGTGATGACCACCTGCAAATGCGAAACACAACATTACAGGCTTGTCCACAACACATTTCTAGTGGCTGGGTGTCAAAATTAGCTCAGATGGAGGCCAAGAAAATTATGCAATCAGTACAACTATGCAAAATAAAATGTGCCATCCATAAAAACCAACAGCCATCTCAACATAGGTTTCAGTCTAAGCAGTATTTAATATTAAAATTAGCTACACCAAGTTTAATAGGGGTTAGCCCCTTGCAGTTGTGACAGTATGTATTTTACTAGAGAGCCATTGGAATGATGCCATGTTGTAGGCCAACACAGAAGTTAGCATCACCCTGGTTCCCTCGATAAAAAGGGGACTTGGGATTTTTCCTCAGGCTTTTGGATTATTACAGAAAATAAGTTATGTGGCAAACAAAAGTTTATGGCATTTACACATTTTGTTCACCAAGATAATCTTCAACTTTTATGATTTTTAAAGCCCAAACATGATCACCACATGTACAGAGCTTTTGTTAGGCTTTAAACAAACTACACCACAATCCCATGCCTTCAGTGTCACCAGCACACCTTCCAACTTGTGATTTGATTTCTAGCGCTTACCCCTTCATCAAATTTCTTTCCTCTTAGCGTGACCTGACCTAGCCAGTGATCATGTGTGGGTCACGTAGTTGGAACAGTTGATTCTGAAAACAGAGCCTTTCAAAACCGGTGGGAGGCTGAGTATATGTTTATTGACATTGCCGGTAAACCTGTGTGTCTTATTTGTGGAGCTAATGTGGCTGTAATTAAGGAGTATAACCTAAGACGGCACTACAAGCTGAAAAACGTGAATGCAGAGCAGAAGCTACAGAAGGTAGAGGAGTTGAAGAGGAATCTGACATCACAGAAGATGTTTTAGCCAAAGCAAAATCACACAGTGAAGCTGCTGTGAAAGCAAGTTTTATTTCGGCAGAGGAGAAAATCAGCCCGGCCATTTACGGAGGGAGAGTTTCTGAAGAGCTGCATGATGAAAGCGTGAGACGTCTTGTGTCCAGACAAAAAGCAGGTGTTTGCAAATGTAAGCCTTAGCAGAAATACGGTTGCTGATTTTAAGTTCAAGTTTATTTATTTTGGAATAATATTGTATCCTGTCTGTTTTGATTCATATTTATGTTGAAAAAATGTGCTTTGGGTTTTGGCTCCCTGTGCGATTGAGTTTGACACCCCTGCAGTAGATACTAACTTGTTACTGTGGGAAAGCACAAGAAAATGAACAATCATGGCAGCATTCCAGTTTGGACGTTGTAGCTTTGCCTGCTGGTTGCAGTACAATTTAGTGGGATAAAATGAATGAAACCATATTATATGCACCTGTGCCTTTTCTGTTATACCCATTAAAATCAACCAGTGCACTAGCTGAGCCAAATGCGCCACTGGCAGTTATGAGAACTTCAGCTTGTGGTGTTTCCAATCATTCACATCTGTGAGAATCACATGACATTTCACTCAGTGACCTTCTGGTCTTGACACTACTTCAGCTTAATCACAAAAACAAATAATTTTGCCAGATGCACTAAATGCCAGGCTTAGGAAAATATTAAAAACAAGAAAATGTCATGATGGGATATAAAAAAGCCTCAGGATCTTGGTGGAAAAAGAGGTGCCAACCAAAGGCCCAGCAGGTCTGCTGGTGTGAGTGAAATAACTGATTGTCACAGGGTAACTGCTCATTAATGGGCCATTTTCACAGCAGACATTTTAACTTGTGCTTTTCTTACTGTACTATGACAAGTGTTACTAACATTAATAAGTGATCTATACTATTCAGCTGTCCTTGCAAGTCATGCCAGTGTGATGCTGAACCAACATAAACCCTGAAACTGAGGCAGCTAAATGCAGTTCAACCATCACTTATTTTGGTATTTACACCTGCGATTTTTTTACACATGTAAAAATGTCTTAGGCGAAAAGGGCTTTTTAAATAAAAAGCACCAAAATAAATATATCAATGTAAAACTTGTTCACTTATTTGAGATTTTAGCTGTGTTTAACAGCGTACACTACAGCCTTAACAATTACAAAAACTGAACACCACCTCTGTATACAGTGAGGAACAGAAGTATTTGAACACCCTGCGATTTTGCAAGTTCTCCCACTTAGAAATCATGGAGGGGTCTGACATTCACATTGTAGGTGCATTCCCACTCTGAGAGACAGAATTAAAAAAA